CTGTCCGAACACTGGTCTGCATCTAAACTGAAAATCCTGGAGCATCCTCTCCATGATGGCGTTGGCAAGGAAACAGTTAACCAGCCCACCCAATCAGGGTGCCTGCCCCATTTGGGCTGGGGATAAAAGCAGGCCAAGGAGTAGCTGCAGTCTGCCAAGGTGGAGGTTTCTCTGCAAGGCTGAGGACCCTGCTGATGCTACATGAGCTGGAAGAGATGACCTGGGGCTTGAAGGGCTGTGACAGGACCATGCTTTGGATGAGGACTCTGTAAACTAAGCCTGGATTGGGGTGGAGGTGGGTTGGGAGGGTGCAATGACACCGCCCCGCTCCTTCCACCTGGCCTAAACTGTTTTACAGATGGGGAAACTGAGGCACGGAACTGGCTCAAGGTGGCTCTGCAGGCCAGAGCTGTGGGTAGTGCCCTGCTTCCTTCCCAGACCTCGTTCAGTGCTCTTGCCCCTTACCCAGAGTTCCTGACTGCAGTATGAAGCTAGAGGCAGCCTGCTGCTAGATCATGGCTTCAGGTGAGTCTCTGCTGCCTGTGCTGTTGGGTGGGTGAAATGACTTGCCTCAGGACACCCAGGGCAGAGCTGAACTGGTGCCTGGGGTCCCATCTTGCTCCAGAGCAGGGAGGACAATTCCCCCCCCCCCTCCCCCAACCTTTGTTTCTCCCACTCATCTATGTGCCGGTCCCAGCAGGATGGAGCCCTGAGTCCCTTGCTGTGCTAATATGATGCAAATGAATGGGTTGATCCTGGCCTGGGGCTGTCTGTGGCTGCTTGACTGACCTCAATGGTGGCAGGCTGGCAGCTCTGCTAGCAGAGGGAGGGCCTGGTCTGCTGTGTCTGAGTAGGGCACCATCCAGACCAGTGCTGGTGAGAGGGGCCGGTCCTATTTGCCCTACGAAGCATTCAGCAAAGAAAGTAACCCTGAGTCCAGCCACCTCCTCCCTGCCAGGGCCAGGTATCGCATGCAGTGCTCAGGCTGGCCTGCCTTGCTCTGGATGCTGATCTATTGATTACAGCTCAGCTGGGCTGTATTTTTTCCAAGACTGCCAAAAAAAAAAAAAAAATCCCCTCTCTGTGCAAACCACTCAGCAGGGGCCTTGTACTGTGCTGTAGCCAGCCCCAGACCTTGGCATTATCTGCGGTGCCCAGGGGACCCACCATCTCCCATCCCTACAGTGGGGAGCCTGGGAGATGAAGGGCAGCTATTTGAAATGGAGACGGTGGAGGGTGGCATAGAGCGGGGAGATATGCCCTAAGCCAGAGGGGTCTAGATGGCAGGTCTCGGACACAGCAGCTGTCTTGGCCTCTGGGCAGACATAACTCTTAACCCCTTTAAATGGGGATGAGCGATTGTCCCTGACACCCGCATTCATGAGAGGTAGCGTTTGAGTCAGGACCTGGCAGCGCACAGCCCTCTACACCGAGCTTGCCCCACAGATAAATGGCATCTCCCTAGGGTTATGGGAGGTCCTCCATAAGCACTTGAAATGGAGGATCCCACATTAAAAGACTGTCCCAGCAGAAAGCAGGCCCTTTTTTGTTTTTGAGCCGAAGGGAATTAAACCAGCTTAAAACAGAAATGTGCTGGATAAACTCATCTAGGAGCTGATATCTTAATAGTCCTATCTGCATAATTACAGGACATGTTTTTACATGGTTCCCATAGGAGCACAACCAAACGGCTCGAGGACACCCATGCCGGTTCTGAGGCTGGCAGCAGAGTCCTGAGAGATGGACAAGTGGATGATCTCCTTTGCTCAGGCACCTCCTGCAGCCAAGCTGGCTCCTGCCTTTTTCCTCTGGATTAAACCAGCAAGGCTAAGAGGGGCAGTGACAGTGGGCAGCTCCGTGTCTCCATGCACACTGCCCAGGCTGTTTGTGCCCTGGAGGGGTCACTCCAGCTTCAGTGATTTCAAGCAAGGATGAAGTTCAGCAAGGCTCAATACGAAGCTATAGTCTCACAAGACAGACAGGTGCCTGTTACTACCAGGAGCTGGATGAGATTTTTAGCAAAACCAGTGAAGGAGCTGGCAGGGGGCATCAGGAGAGCAGCCGTCCTGCCAGCCAGGGGCACGGGGGTCTCCTAACAGGCAGAAGGTGGTTGCTTGGGTCCCAGCCAGCTTGGAGTTGGGCAGCTGAGAACTGCTTGAGGGCACCGTGCTGGCATTGTCAGGGTTTGGCGTGCACGTACCTCCAGGGTCATCTTGGCTGCTTGTTTCTTGCTCGCTGGTGGGTGTAAGCTGCTCTTTAGTCTTTCTTGCTGGTGCTTTGCACTGGTGCATGGGGAAGGGAGTCTGGTCGGCATCTCCCTTGCCAGAAGGATGCAGACTTCAGCTTTGGTGACATCCATAGCTGTGCAAGACCTGTCGAGGGCACTACGGGGACCAAGGCAACTGTGCTGGTTCCTTGGCACTGGGTCTGGGCTGGGTTGCCTGCAGCTAGTCCTGGTGTAGGTGCTGAGCTCTGAGTGTGTGGCAGTGAATAGGGGTGGCCATGGCTTACAGCAGGGCAGGGGCCTTGCAGTTTTGGTTCCAGGACAAGAAAGGGCACAGGAAGGCAGGAGAGCTGAGCCATAGGGCTTGTGCCTCAGTTTCTCCCTTCTGGCGCACAGAGTGGTGAGCCTGAAATCAATCCATCAACCTGCCAGGATGGCACCAGGCTGCATAGTGGGCACAGCATGACCCCAGATGCAATGTGAACCTGGCTATCCCACCTCTAGCTCTTGCCCAGAAGCAGCATTGATGGTGCTGTACCTTGTTCTTAGCCACATTAGTCAGTTAACAGACCTAACCAGAACTGGACAGAGTGCATCTCCTTGTTTCAGAGGTCTGGAGTAGCTGGGCCTGTGTCCTAGATTCTGTTCCTGACATCCTGGCTTCTTTTAAGAAGCCCACTTTTTTTCTTTTTAATTCCTGCAGTGTCCTAGGTGCTGTGTAGGCTCCTGGCCTGCCTCTAGTGACAGTGAGAGCAACCTCCAGGCTGCTCTAACTGAAGCTGGTCCCTATGGATGGAAGCAAAATATGCAAATACCCCCTGCCCCAGGGGTGGGATCAATACAGGTACAGAACTGCTGGCTGGGAGAGCCCTGGATGGGGCAGGGTGCAGAGGGGAGAGGTGTTACCCCTTTCCATTGCCTTTGCAGAGGCCAAGAAGCCAAAATCATGGAGTCCTGGAATGATGTACTGGCCAAGCAGGGAACATTTGTTTCTAATTAGGGTGTAGCATCCCTTGCTGAGCACGCAGCTTGCGAGCCGTCGGCCACAAATGTACCAGCTCAGGATGTGATCTCATGAGCCAGTTGAGGCTGGGAGGAGAGACCTCCAGGTTGTTGCTGATTCAGGCAGTGGCAGAGGATCAGGGAGGAATGAATGGGCCATTGTGACTTGTGGGGCAAAATCTTCAGGGAAAGGAGATATTTCCTTCTGGCCTGGCAGCCAGTGCAGCCCCAAGCCACTGCCTAGTTGCATGGCTGTTTGGAGCAGGGTAGAAGGATCCTTTGGCTGATTCCCCTGCCAGCGATATCAACTGGATATGCTCATCTCCTGTAGGGCAGCTGCTACACCCCAGAGCTGGCTGCATTTCGGAGTCAGGAGGGCCACCTCTCATCAGTGTTGCTTTGGGCTGTTAAAGGCTGCAGTGTTCCTCCACAGAAGTAGCTGCATCTTGGTGCTGGCTGAAATGACTCTGTGCATCTGTCCCTTTGGAGTACTTGATGCTGTGGAAACCCTTGAAGTCCTGGATGCTGCAGCTGCTTGATAACCACACAGCCCAGTGCTTCGGTTCTAGGGGAAGAAAAACCTTTCTAAGTCCGTTAGGTCTGGGCTGGGAAAAGCTGCCAGTGGAGGCTTTGCTGCTAGCCTGGGAAGTCCTCCAGGCTTGACTAGACACCTATCTATTTCAGCAGCTGTAGGAAAAAATTGAGTCACTACTACCTCGAGGCTGAGCAGTAGCAGAATTAGACAAGGCTAAAAGTGGCCTGGATCAGCTGGGATCTTGCACCTGGTACCCCTGAACCCTGAATGCGCATTTGGGGGGGCTGTCTGAGGAGCAGAAGGAGGTGGCTTGCTCTGAAGGAAAGGAGCTGGTAGCTTCCCATTGGCAAAGAGCAGCACATCTTCCCGGCTTGGCCTAGCAGAAAGTGCATGGTTGCTATGATGCATGGGTCATGATGGATATAACCCCCGCCCACCCCCCTCCCCACCCCCCTTTTCAGAGCCTGAGCTGAGCACTTGCTGGCAGGGGTCAGGATGGCTGGTATCATGGGGTCTGGCTGCCAGGATGCTGGTTGAATCCCTGCATCTTACGCCCTGGCTTCTCTTAGTGGAGGATCAAGCCCCCAGCACATGGGGGGGGGGGGGTCTTGGGCCTGGGTGGGTCTTCTCAGCACTACCCTCATTGAAGACTGGAATATCCAACAGAGCACTGGAAAGTGGGGCTTTGGGGGCCAAAAAGTCCAATCTTGGACACTTCCACAGAGGGAAATTGCCCTGAACTATCTAACCTTTGCCACCCAGTATTTCCAGAGAACAAATAAAAGGCAACGGATTGCAGTCTGAGAGCCACCGTGATCTCATTGCTTCAAAATGGGGCCTCTTCCACAAAAATCGCGTGCTCCTAGGAAACATTCAGGTTTTGCCAAATGGGCATTTTTTTGACTGTAAGCAGTTCTCCTGTGTCTTCATCCTGCTCTGTTTCCGGACCTTTTTAAAACCCCTGGGTTTTGCATCTCGGGAGCCTCTGCCAAAGTGAAAGAGGCTGCTGCTAGCAGTGCTCTCTCCTGTATAGTGGGGCATCCTGCAAGCTTTTGCAGGCAGGTGTTGTCCTGCAAAATGCCTGGCAGGCTGTAGACAGGGCATCAAATTGGGAAGAGAAGAAACCCTCCTTCCTACAGCCCTGTGGCTTTAACAGGAAGCTGCAGGGTGGCACTGTGCAACCACCTCTGGGGTGGAACATAATGACTTTGAACAGGCATTTGAGACCCCTTGCTTGGAGAAGGGGGGTCACTCCCATGGCTCTACAGTGCAGGTGGAGTAGGGCCTGAGAGCTGCTGGACAGCACTGCAGTGGGGTGCAGGGGTTAGCGCACAAATTCCTAGCTCTTGTATTAGTTTTGGGCAAGTCCTTTCTTTTTCTCTTCTGGTTATAAGCCCTATGGGAGCAGGGTTTGCTGCTGGGTGTCTCTAAAGCCCCTGGCACATGGACATTGTGGGCCTTCTCAGTGCTATGCTCATTATAGCAGGAGATGCCTTGGCCTTTTCCATCATAGGATTGGGCTTTACCACGGCTGAAATGCAGCCAGCTCTGGGGTGGAAGGCTGCAGCCAGTTGGCGTGCAGCAGAACATTGTGGGCAGGAGAGGCTTGGGCTAAGAGCAGCAAAAGCAAAACTCCCCTCTTGTGTTTTAATGTCCAAGTAGCGCAGGGAGGATCTGAGCCTTGAAAGAGTTTGGCGCAGCAAGCCCAAAAGCTGGCTCTTGCCCCCGGAGCACTGAGCTGAGGATGCTGGGAGCCAATGAACTCTGGAGAAAGTGTCTATTGCAGGGGACCAACTCTTGATTTCTGTTTTTCTGCCCCCCTCCACTGGTTGCCAAATAAGGTCCCATCAGCCTGCTGACAATGGACCCCAATGTAGCTAAAAACAGCCCTAACAAACCCCTGTGCCTTTATGAAGCCATCACCATCATTGTCATGGGCTTTCCCCAGCCCCATTTCTCAGCTGTGTACACTGAGGCTGGAAGGGTTCCAAGCAGGATGGGGGTGGAAAAAAGGACTTCCATGAGTTGAGGGGAGAGGGGAAGGCACCTGCCAGTACTAAAGGTGATCTGGACTGGATGCTGCCTGCTATCACATTCAAGTCACACCTCGTGGTTTTAATAAGCAGGAAATAAAGCTCCAAAGTTGCAGATTCTGGAATAAAATCAGGGATATTTCCCCCGCCTTCCAGCATTGCTTTATTTTTTAACTCTGTCGTAAAGGGCTGCAGAGCCATTGATCCATGCCCACCCCGGCCCCCCATGCACACAAAGAGCTGGGGGGGATTTGCATGACAAAGCCACCCTGGCTACCCCCAGCCTCCTGCCAACAGCCCCCCCCCCACCATTCCTTCAAGGCTGCCAAGTGCTGCATATAACTCAATCCAGGGGCCAACTGGCCACCCTGAAAAAAGACCGGGGGGGGGACAGGGGGGAATCACTTGTGCTCTATATTGATCCGTGACTGGTATTGATTCACTTCTGCATCCAGAGCTAGGGCAGGTACCTGGGTGGGTGTGTGTGTGCATCTGAAACTGTGCAAGAGAGTGGCCAGGACCTCAGAAAAGCCACATTTCTCCCAAGCCAGGGCACCGCACTTTGGATTTGCAACTCGGAGGCATCAGCAAGTTTTGCTGCATTGGATTGAAAATCTGCCCTGCTTTGGTTTTCTCCTCCTGCATCTCTTCTCGGGATGGTTCTGCCAGTGGCAGGGAGGGAGGAGGGAACGCAGCCAGCGCAGCATTGAATTAGAAATACAGTGCATTTCCTTGGCACTATAGATTTTTTGCAAAAGGGTGGGGGGAGTGGGAGGGAAAATATAAAAGGCTGGAGCGGGGGAGGATATGTGTGTGTGCATCCAGTAGCTCTGTCCTGCCTGGCAGCTCCTGACTGTATATTTTATCTGTGCTCCCTTCTGAAATAACTGCAGTTCATCTCTGCATTGCCCCCCCTGCAAGCACCAGCTCAGCTCCAGAGGAAAAGTTCTTTCTCTCTCTGCCTTTCTCAGCTCAGCACACACACGCCTGGTCCTCCACTGCTCTGCAAGTCTCCTCCCAGCATCCTGAAGAGGTTGGTGAATGACTTTGAGCTATTTTTTTTTCTCCATCTAAGGGAGACTTTGGAAACCAGTGACACTTTAGAGCCAGGTTGGGATGGGTGATGTCTCCTGGTTGCTTGTGAGCTCAGTGGCAGGTCCTATCCAGCCCTTGAGGACCAGCACTCACTCCAGTAAGACTCACGGGGGCTACTGATGGGAGTGGGTGCTAGCCAGGGTCTGTGCGGCTGGCTCTGGGGGGCTCTTTTTTTTTTAAGTACAAAGAGATTTCTTGTTTGACCTCCCTTGCTCTTGATCTTGAATGCCAGAAGGTAAGCGAAGAGATGCAGCAGGGAGTCTGAAAGGGTCTGGATGGTAGATTTATCTTTTGTGTGCATGTGAGTGAGATGAACCTGATACACCACAGAGGAGATATTTGACCTGCAATATTCAGCTCTGGGCTTGTCACTTTGGTTGGGTCGCTTGCTGGAGAGGTTTGTCCTTGGCTTGGGGATTTAAGGGTTTTTTTCTCTCTCTCTCTGCATCAGATGATTTTTTCAGTGTGTGCAAGTTTTATTATTCTTATTTTTAATAGATAAGCTTTGTGCTACAAATCCAACCTTCCCCCTACATCCACTTCAAATCTGCAGCTCTAGCAATGAGGGAAACATGGTTAAAGTTGTGCGTGTGGGAGAATTGCGCACCGGGCAGCAGTTCTGGCTGAGCAGGGCTGGGGAGGATGCTTGTTGTGTGTGCCTCTCCGAGCAGGGGCAGGCTGGGAGCGGCACTGGGAGATGGATCCTAGCAGCACTGGGAGCTGGATCTAGCAGCCTGCTGCTGCTCTGGGCATGCTGGATCCAATCTTCTTGGCTTCTTCATCCAGAGGTCTTCCTGCTCAGCTCCCCAGGACATAGAGGAGCACTGAATACTAGGGGCGATGGCTGCTTTTGTGCAGGGAGGACAGGGGTACTGGGTTGGGAATTGGAGGACTTGGGTTCAGGTCCTGGCTGAGCTCTGGACTTGTTGCATCTGATGGGGCAGGGGTGTGGATCTGGTTTCATGTCCTCTGTGCTGTGTGACAAGGGATAGTGCTCCCTGAGGAGGGATGGGGTGCAGCTAGACCCCCATTTGTGAAAGGTGATTGCATGTCCTGATGCACTGCGGGGAACAATCCAGGCCTGGCCGGCTCAGCCCTTCGCTGCTGGGCTCCATGCAATCTTCACTGCACCTGGTTCTCAGGCCTGGGTGACATGGGAGGGTCAGAGGGGGCAATTGCAAAGATCCCTCCCAGCCTGAGGATCAACCCTGCTGCCTTTTGTGTCTTAGGAACTCCATACATCAAGGGCTCACTCCAAGTCACAGGTTTGCAAAGCACTGTCTATCTTCCATTGGAGCAGAAGGGTGACTGCATCTGGCTTGGGATTTCCCAGGGCTTTGTCATCATCCCCAGCAAAGACCCCCAGTTGCCATCCCACACCCCACTGACCCCAGGACAGTGTTGCCCCTGTGGCCTCTGCAGGCAGAACTGTCATCCTGCTGGAATGGATGAGAGCATGTCTGAACTGGGCCCTGCCCTGTCAGGCTGCCTCGGAGCTGCAGGAGAGCACAAAGTTCCTTAATGAGGCATTTATTTTGCATATTTAACGAATTGAGGGCGGCGCTCCAGGGACTCCTATCTCCGACCAGCTGTAGCCAGTGGCTTTCTGCTAATGCAGCCAACATAGAGCCATCCCAGCCAGGTTCAGAGCCCCAGGTCTGGCATGCCAAGATCAGGCCTGTGGAGCTTGCAGTCCGTGTCAATAGGAAGGAGGGGAAACTGAGGCACTGGCAGGGGGAAGTGGCAGTGATCTGGTAGGTCACATGGCCTGAGAGCTCCTATGTGCAGGCGAAGAACATGGTTGAGGGACATATGAGCTGCTGGGTTTGGATCAAACCTTCCCTCGCTGCCCGGTGGTGCTGGCCTTTGGGGCTCAGGTCCCGTTCTGTTCTCCCTGTGCCCATCCTCATGGCCTCTGGGCTGCTCCTGGTCATGTATGAAGCCTAATGCCTGCCTTGGGGGATGCATTTTCTCTCCCTGCTTTGGTGCAACCCATCCCTCCTCCGGTATTGCTCATCCCCTTTCATCCCAGACAGCATGGTAGAAAGAAATCCCCCCCGTGCTCCCTTCCCAAGTTTATGGCTGCCAGCCCCCAAGCTGAGAACCTCTGTCTCCTGGGGGGCAAGGGCTCCTGGCTGCAAGGCAGGATCAGGCTCTGGTGCTTAGCAGACAACCCTAGGGGCCTCGCAGGGAGGAACGGGGGGTGTGAGACCCCTGGGGTCTTTGCCAGCCTGCCCAGTCCTGTTCTGAGGTCTGGTCCCTGCTTCTCCAGCACGCTGCCTGGATTTGTGGTGACTAGGAGGTATTGCTGCCCAGACCTTGGGACTCCTGGGTTCATTGCTGGGGAACACGGTTAGATCGGATCAGGATGCCTGGGCTCCATTCCTAGGGGGTGTTTCCTAGTGGTTAGAGCAGGTTGTCTAGTTGAGGCTGTCTTTTATGTGCAGCTGTAGGAGGGTAGTATAGCCTAGTGGTTAGAAAGGAGGCTGGATGCCAGGGATCTCTCCCAGCCTCTGCTCCTTATCTGTGAGTCACCCCTGCTGCGTGCCTCAGTTTTCCCCTCCGCCAAGTCAGAGGTGGAGCCTTCTGCCTTGTGGCACTTCAGGGGTGTTGGGGCTGGGACCTGCAGCCCTTGTCTGGCAGGCCTTGCCTATGGGGCTGGAAGGATGCCATGTCCCCCATACACTCTGCAGGGGCAGGACTGCTGGAGGGCCAGTGCGTGAGTGCATGTGTGTGTGCGTGCGTGCGCGCGCGTCTGCATGCACACTGCAAGAGATCTCATTAATGGATCTCTATGGCTGGGTCCTTCTGTCCTGGCTGGATTCCAAGCTGGGTTATTATCTTCCACCTGGTTAAATACCCCAGGGGCTCCAGTAGCTTCCTCCTTTTGCTTCTCTTTTAATTCAGTTGGGGTATGTCTGTGTGCACGCGTGTCACCCCCACTGGTGCTTTTGACTGCGACCCTCACCCCTCCAAACCCATCCCTGCTCCTTCCCTTCCCCCCCACCCCCCTCTACAGGTGGGTACTGGCCATGCCTGGAGCTGCTGACTCCTGCCATCCCTGGCACACCGAGGGCAGGGGTGTGTGCAGGTGTGCCGCCATGAGAACACGCCCCACGTGTCCTGTGCACCCAGCCCCGTGCTCAGGACAGCAGAGCTATGTGGCAGTGGCTCGTCATGGAGCAGGGGTGTACTTGTGCCCAGTTTGCCAGCACCAAGGCTGCTCTACGTTACACCTGGGGCAAGGGGAGCAGGTGGGGCCTTGCACACCTCCAGAAACAGGTGTCCTCTACCCAGCCTCCACTTCCGCTGCCCAGCTCTGCTGGTTGAATGTGGGCCAGGCTCTTCCAAGCTTCCTGCCTCAGTTTCCCCTCCCCTCCACTCTGGCCCCTTTGGGAGCAGGGGCTGGGTCTGGCTGGGTTGCCCGTACAGCACTTAGCACCAGCCTCGGTGCGTCCCAGGCTGGTCTCTCCTGAGCTCTGTTGCACTACCTTCCCCCACAGACTCCTGAGGTGAATATGTGAATGCAAACTCCCCCTGTGCTGAGCAGATGCAGCATCTTATCCCTTCCCCAACTTGTCTCCTGTGGTGGTTCATCCAATTCACCCCCTTCCCCATCTTCTGAGCTTCCAGCCTGAAATACCAGCCCTGGGAGCTGCATTCTTGCTTTCCCACTCTCCCAGACCCCAGCCAGAGCAGATTCATCCCACCTAGAGGGGCTGGCTAATGAATGCAGTTACAAGGGATGGAAGATCTATGCTCTGTTGGGGAGGGAGGAAGAAGCAGGGCAGGCTGGGGCTGCCACTTAGGTCCCCTCCACGCCGCCTTCAGTCACCTTGTCCCAGAGAGCCCCTTTCTACTCCCCCAGCCCTAAGTTGCTCTGATTCGCAGCAAAGCCCACCCCCCTCCCCTTTTCCACTCTGCCAAGTTGTTTTCATTGCCAAGGCAGCTCCTGGGCACTGTCCCCCTCCAGCTCCCTTCCCCTTAAAGATAGGGCTGTGTGCTCCTGCACCCCATTCCCTCTGCTTTGCTTAATGCTCAGGGGCTGAGCTGCAGGAATGGAATCCTCCCTTAAACGGACCTGGTATTCACCCATTGCTCAGCTGGCATTGTGCATGCTTCCCAGCTGGCATAGGACTCCTGTGCTTATATCTAGGATGTTCCCATCATCTCCTGGGTAAAGCAGGTGGGAAAATGGCCTGATATCCCATTGGGAAAGGCCTTGTCTTTGCAATCAGTCCCTTCCAGCTGAAGGGTGTTGATTTTGGCCATGCTTTGTTGAATGACCTGGAAGAGGTCAAAAGCCTTCGGATAAAGCTCAGAGCAGACCCAACTGGATGGTCCATGTGGATTAGATGTGGGATGAGGGAGGTTTCCATTGACAGCACATGCTAAAGGGGTGTTGTGGGGGAGGGGGGCAGGGTGGATACATGCAAGTATTTTGGGTGGCATGTGTGTACATGCATCTATGCACTGGTGGACAAGTGTGTGGGTATAGGAGTGTACACAGACGCAGCTCTATGCAGGTAGAGGGACCTGGACATGCACATGCTTGCAGGAGCTAGCTTCTAGCATGTGCATGTGAGGAGTCTGTGCCTGCATATGTGTGCCCAAAGCACATGCATGTATACGTAAGTGGGACATGCATGTCCAACGCACATGCATGTGCTTTGGACCCGCATGTATGCACACATTGGTGCATGTGTGCACACATGACCTTACTTCTGACCATGCATGCAGGGGCCCGCAGGTGTGTGCAGCCACGTGGCATCCAAGCAGGCGGGTGGGGGGAGTTGCACACACGTATGAAGCTGTGTGCGGGGAGCAGGTGTGCCGGCAGAGCCCGAGCCCAGTGCATGTGTGTGTGTGCAGGTGTGCACTGACAGGCACGTGCCTGCCGGTCTCTGCAGGCTCATCAAAGGCTCCTTCTCTCTCCCT